AGTTATATGGAAATACTTCTTTCGGTCCTGTTTGTAAGTTAAACATAGCAGGAAATAGTTTAAGCTTCTTATTTATAACACTGTAAGAGTCTTTTATAATAATTGCCCTCCTTTATATAAACCAGTTATTTGCATTGTTCGTGAACCTTTAATGATGGGAGTTCCTTTCACTTCTGTCATGTGTCTTAAGATGAAGTTTATGTCATAACTGAGGTTATGGAAATATATTAAACTCTTGTCAGGAAGTCTTTCCAAAAATTCTGTTGCACAGTTTTGACCCCAAATACTTTCACTAACTGAACCATCTTCACTGTCATAACAGATGTTAAAAGCTTTATGAAAGCCATCCGTACTACACTCAAAGTCAGCAAAGAAAACGTGCTCAGGTATGAACTTACATTTAGCTTTATTTACTTCTTTTGACTCTGCTTTCTTCTTCAGTTGTACACAATACTTTGGAGCATATGTCAAATCTTTAAATGGTGCAAGGTTCTGTTTATATAAGTCAGTCGTATATGTGAAAAGTTCTCCATAAGAAATAGGTTCAAAATATTTGCACTCCCACAATGTTTTCATAACATCCCATAGCGGTGTAGTTCTATCCATGCGAACTACATATTTATCTTCTCTCTTTGTATATATTTTCATCTGTTTTTCAATGTTCATTCCACCACACTCCTTCAGATTTCTATATAGTTTCGAATGAAATATGTTGTCATTGGAAGTCTTTCATTTAGCATGTAGTGGTCTTCAACAAGAAGTAAGTCAATAGTTCGAACAGTTTCACATTCTTTTGGTATGTATCTCTTTATTTCATTATGTCTTGAGTCATTGAAGTAACCAATGGTAACATTAAATGCTATACCTGTTGCGTCAGAAATTTCTTGTACTTTACTTTGAGGAAAGTCTCTAACACGAATGACTTCTCTCATGTGGTCAATAGTTTCTTCATTTACTCCAGCCTGAATGCAAGCATAAACGAAGCAGTTATCTTCTGTCATAAGTGTTGCAGTTCTTTTGTTCAGTTCATTGAAGATTTGGTAGCGTTCAAGATTTATAGGTAATGTGCAAAGATACTTCCAGAACTGACCGCTTCTCTTCTTATAAAACTTCTTTTCACCATTATCTTTCCAAAAGCTTTCTATAAGTGCTGGGTTTCCTGTTTGCTTAAGAGCTTCCAAAATGGCTTTCTGGTCATTTGTCAGTGTGCTTTCATCTCTATATGGTCTCTTTTTTGGTTTGCCTTTCTTTACATCTGACATCGTTAAGCCTTCATATTCTGTTAAATCATACATCTTTATTTCGTAAGATTCTTTATGTTTGTCAAGAAGAAGTCATAGTGCATTTCAACAATACCTGCAGCATTTGCTTCTATCTCTGATATAAAGTTCTCCTTCAAGAGCTGATGTAGTAATGTTCCAATATTATTGAGGTTTAACGTAGAACATTCATACTTTCCACCAAGTTTATAACATACCATCCATCTCTGTTGGGAGTTTATTTTAATTTTCTCTAAGAGTCTCATGAAAACCTTACCAAATGTTTGTGTAAGTAGTCTCTGTTTGGTTCATCTAAAGCTTCGATGTTAAAGTCAATGAGTCTATTGCCTGACTTCACATTCTCTTCCTATTTCTTCATCTTTCTTTAACCATCTCTCACCTTCTTTTGGTTTGTCGTCAATGGAACGAATGACATTTAGCTTTGCGAACTTGTTCTATAGCACTTTTAAACATCTCTCTTCTCTGTTGTTTCAGTGTGTCATCTCTCTTTCGTGTTTCACCAACGTTTGCATTTGTTATGTCAAACATTTCTCTTCTTACTTCATGTGGTACAGCTCTTCTTGTTTCACCAACGTTTGCATTTGTTATGTCAAACATCTCTTGACGAACGTCATGTGAAAGAGCTTTACGAGTATGACCAACGTTTGCATTTGTTATGTCAAACATTTCTCTTCTTACTTCATGAGGTATTGAACGTCTATGATATAAGTCAATAGCAACGTCATTTAAAGGAAATGCTCTTGCATGGACTTCGTCCTCGCCGCGTTGCGGCTTTATGAACTCATGAATTCTATCATAAGTTATTTCACCATTATAGTCATTGAGGATGTCAGCGAGTGCCTTTTTGTTTGTTGTGTAATGCTTTGCAACATCTATATTAGCTTCTGTAAGAAGTTGTTTTATTTCCGAGTGTTCTAACTTAGACAACTTCCGATACATCTTTAGTAGGAAATAAAAAAATATTTTTTGAAAAAATTAGATTAGATTTTTTTAAGTTATTTTTCAAAATAATTTAATATTTTTATTTTAATGAAACACATGCAAGATTGCAAGTTCTTTTCATACAATGCTCTCGCTACTGTCATCAAGAATGAGTTCAATAATGCTTCAAACGTCAATGTTATCTTTAACAAGAAGTTTGTGAAAGAATCTAAGTTTGGTCAGTATGTCAGACCATTAGCTATTGTCATTGACCGCAAACGTTATACTTCACAAGAGTTAGCAGTAGTTTTGAAACAAAAGGTTTCTTCGTGAATGTCAAAGATACTCATTATACTATTATAAAGAACTCCAACATTGACTTCTTCAGTATTGCTATGAATCTTTCCGAACAGAAAGAATATAAGAAGGGTGAAACAAATGTGAAATATTATTCTTCATCTCTGAAAACAATAACGAACAAAGATGTTATACAAAAGTTCTTACCAAAGGTTGAAGAAGCTTCTATTGACATTGACGAAGGAAGTGAAATGGTTGAAGAAATTGACCCTGACGTCATTTAAGCAAAAATATATTTTTGGTTAGTCTTCATATCGATATTTTACAACAATTCCCCAATGTATAAACTTTTCATACGCTTTTTCATAAGCTTTATATACCTTCAGAAATTTTGCATAATCTTTAGAAGCATTTAGATATTGTTTAAATGCTTTGTATGTCTTCAGAAATTTTGCATAATCTTTTACATGTTGTTCGTTCTCTTCTTCTGTCATGAGTTCCGAATATTCTAAATTCATGTTCTTTCATATGAGATAAAATTTTATAAAAAAATAAAATTAGCTTAGATTTTTTTATTCTTCCTCTTTGAAGTTATCGAAATATTCTGTTATTTTTTCCTTCAGTAATGTTAAGTCTTCTTTGAATGTAAGTATTGTGCAACCTTTGATGTCATAGTGTGTTTGAGGAAGAGTATTTTTGACAATTTCCTTTATTTGCTCATTCGGTGTCATTGAAATCGGTAAGTTTTCACGATAGAACCAGTTTCTGTCAGATTTGTAAATCTTAGCAAGGTCATAAAAGCTTTTGTTGTTTCTTCTGACTAAATGCAACATAACCATATCTCTATCTTCTTCTTTCTCCAACTCTTCAGTATATATCATATACTTATAACTCTTTTCCTTTCCTTTTGGTACCGAACGTGGTATTCTTTTCTGTATGCTTTTGTCTTTGGATTCAATGACTTCATCTTTTGCTTGAAGTTTCTTTTCCATCTCTCCACGTTCTGCTTTATATAGTTCATCTAACATCATGAAAATATAACAAGCATAACGAGGTGAAGCCCACATTGCTACAGCATTTACTAAAAGTCTATGAACATAATAACCTTTCAAACCAGGTGCCAAATTCTTGCGATTTTCGTACGGAATCTCTTCCCTCGGTTTTCCGAGGGAAGCAATCATATGAGGAAATTCTTCTAAAAGTTCTTTTGCCTGTTGGTTTTCAAACCAATGATATGCTTGCTTTGTAGAAAGAAGAGCGTTCATTATACTTTGCATTTGATACATGTCATCTTTGACCGAACGAATGAGACGTAACTGTTTGTTATACTGTATGTACTCGTATTCTTCATTAATGGCTTCATGAACGATAGCAGTTGTTGTGTTCTCTGATGTTGACATTACTGTCTTTACATACAAAATAAAAAAATAAATAAAAATAAAACTAACTTTATTTTTCTGTGATAAAGAAATGTTAAAAATTCATGTTTACATATGTGAAAAGAAGTCACGAACAAATGAAGGTCATAAGATTCAGCACATAATTCTGAATTGAATGGTGTGTCATACATGTCAAACCGTCAAGAATTGAAGGAGATACGAGGCTATAAAGATTTTGGATATTTTCTGACACACACCCTGAGGGAAAAGTGACAAAACACGACGATAGAAAAAGTGGCAAAATTGAGAGAAAGTTGTCCCCGACCAAAATGCAATCATGTTGAAAAAGTGACATTTGTAAAGTTGGACGATAGGATTTCCTGAAAAAGTGCAAGACTTGTCTTGAATCAGGACAAGATTTGTCTTGAAAAAATACAAGACTTGTTCTGAAAAAATACAAGACTTGTCTTGAATCAGGACAATTGTTCTCAAATTTGAGAACTTTACAAGAAAAACTGACTAAAAAGTGCAAGTCTTGTTCTGAATCAGGACAAGACTTGTTGTCTGAAAAATACAAGACTTGTTCTGAAAAAATACAAGACTTGTCTTGAATCAGGACAAAACTTTACAAAATGTAAACTTTACATAACCGTTTCTATCGTACATGATATTTAGTTGACATTGTAAACTATCTTCATGTAAAGTATGGCGGTTTGAAACCGTCGGGAACCTTCACTTTTTTGACGAACTTTCCGCAGCAATTTTTAAAATTTGTGAAAACTCAACGGTTTGACACGTGCCATATGTCATTTTACTCAGAATTTTGTGCTGAATTCAGCAAAAATAATGTTTATGTTAGCATGTTAGATCTAACACGTTTTCTAACCTCTTTTCTAACATAACTATTTACAAGCGTTTTACATGGTATATGTTGCGATGGTTCATGACTTTAAACAGTTTTGTAGCTTCTATTTCTTCTTTTAGTACATCGAATGTTTTAACAATGCCGAAGGTTTCTTTATATTTCTTCTTGACGTCAGATAGAAGGAAATCGTCAGCAGTTGGATAATTTTTGTTCAGAAATGCTAACATGTCCATTTTATCTTCTGCTGGCTTTTCTACTTCTTTCTTTAAATCTGCATAGTCGTTTCTCATTCTTTCTATCTCTTTGACGGAGTAGTTATATTTCCTCATCGCTGCCTTACATTTTGAACATTGCGGGTTCATTTTTGCGTTATACATTGAAATTTGACCTGCTAAAACAACTAAGGCGTCAATTGCTCTCTTCATCTCAAACATAGCGGGTCTTAGTTGTTCGTTCCATACTTTGCCTCTTCTATCTTTATCTCTTATTTCCCAAACACATTCAGCAACTAATGAAACAAAGTTATCGTAGGTCTTAAATTCTTCAGATTTATATATGTCAGAAACATTCTTATAAACCATGTCGCAATCTTTGTCCATAACTTTATGGTTGCAATGAAAACCAAGGAATTCATAATTTACTTTACGTATGAACTTCTTTATTTCTACTGAGTCAGTTGTTTTGACTTCAATTTCGTCGAATTCAGGAATAGTTAGTTTTTGTTGTTGGATTTCAGGCAATTTGGGTAAATGGTCAATAATGTCCTGCATTTCATAAAGATACTGTTCATTTGTTTCATCTTTCGCACTACAGTCTAAATTACTTGTTAAAAGTTCTTGCTTTATCTTCTGGATTTTTGTTTCGAAAGTATATGAAGAAGGAATGAAGCTTTTCATCTCTACTAACATAGATGTTGGATTCATGACTAACGAGTTTGGTGCTGTAGTTTGAATTGTTGTTGTGCCGATTGTTGAAATCATATCTTTACATACAAGATAAAAATTTTTCTTAGAAAAAAATTAGCGTTATTTTTCTTTCATAAGGAAATGTCAAAAATTCATGATTTTCGAGAGTTTTAGACCATGTTAGAAAAGTGGTTAGAAAACGTGTTAGATCTAACATTCTAACATAAACATTATTTTTGGTGTAAATAAATGGTACCATTGTTATATACGAAAACGATAAAAACCGTTTGACAGAAAAGTGACAACTTTACGTGTCAAAAATATAAAAAGTGATATTTTATTCATCATTATCTTCTTCATAATTTATTTCATATTCTTCGTCTTACCAACAAAAGATGGGAATGTGAACAATTGCGGGCAATTTTTAGCCATTTTGGCTTGGAACTAGAGCCTGCGAGGTACATGGATAGTATCAGTACCTCACAGGCTCTAGTTCTCTATATGGCGCCGAGAAATTTTGGTGAAATGTGGTCGCATTTCACCAAAATTTTTTCGGCGCCATAGGATGAATTGGAGGGTGAGAGATATTATTTCATACAATACTACTCTCACCCTCCAATTCCCAGCCAAAATGGCTAAAAATTGCCCGCAATGTGAACAATTGCGGGCAATTTTTAGCCATTTTGGCTTGGAACTAGAGCCTGCGAGGTACATGGATAGTATCAGTACCTCACAGGCTCTAGTTCTCTATATGGCGCCGAGAAATTTTGGTGAAATGTGGTCGCATTTCACCAAAAATTTTTTCGGCGCCATAGGATGAATTGGAGGGTGAGAGATATTATTTCATACAATACTACTCTCACCTCCAATTCCCAGCCAAAATGGCTAAAAATTGCCCGCAATGTGAACAATTGCGGGCAATTTTTAGCCATTTTGGCTTGGAACTAGAGCCTGCGAGGTACATGGATAGTATCAGTACCTCACAGGCTCTAGTTCTCTCTATGGCGCCGAGAAATTTTGGTGAAATGTGGTCGCATTTCACCAAAATTTTTTCGGCGCCATAGGATGAATTGGAGGGTGAGAGATATTATTTCATACAATACTACTCTCACCCTCCAATTCCCAGCCAAAATGGCTAAAAATTGCCCGCAATGTGAACAATTGCGGGCAATTTTTAGCCATTTTGGCTTTGGACTAGAGCCTGCGAGGTACATGGATAGTATCAGTACCTCACAGGCTCTAGTTCTCTATATGGCGCCGAGAAATTTTGGTGAAATGTGGTCGCATTTCACCAAAATTTTTTTCGGCGCCATAGGATGAATTGGAGGTGAGAGATATTATTTCATACAATACTACTCTCACCCTCAATTTTAATTACTTAAACTCATTCTATTTTTTTGACATGTAAATGTCACTTTTACTGAGATCTGACACAATGTCAGATCTCTTTTTTTCGTATATAAGACCATTAATAATTCCATGACTGTTCTCATTCATGTCTGATTTACATCTAATGAAAAAGTTTAGAAGAATTTTCTTATTCTTTCTGGCATATTTTTGTCTTTCCAGTACTTCCCGCTCTAATGGTCCCAGATGTGTTGGCTTTGACTCTCTCAAGTTCTTAGATGGTATAACATCTTCAACACCTCCTTCATATCTTACTTTATAAGTGTCATCGTTTATGTTGTAGCCAAGTATTTCAATAACCACTCCTCGCTTTGCTTCGTCAATGGTTTCAGCAAGTTTGCCATTACTACTTTCAACTAATTTATGTCGAGGGTAAAACGCAATAGAGTCGTCAGCAGCTTTTATAAGATATCCATTACCTTGCGTAGAGTCTACATATAATATTTTACTTAACCTTAAACGTTTCTTTGTCAACGGTTTGTCGTCAGAACTACACGAACTTTTGTACCAGGAATGAGGGTAAATTGTGTTGAATTTCTGATATTTTGTGTTTGGCTTCGTTCTTTTGTATATACTTTTCTTCTTGTTGTTGTGTCATTGAATTTGGTGTATGTCCTGTTGTAGAATGTGTTGAGGAATTATATACTTCGAGAAAATGTTTCATTGTTTCTTCGTAAAGTCTCGCTCTTGATTTAAATCTCTGAGCGTTCTTATGAAGCGGTTTATGATGCCGAGTATGTTATGGTTATGGTCTTCAGTAGTGTAGTGAGTTATGTTATGCTTAATGAGAAATTCTGTGATTTCATTGCTGAGGTATGCACTGTCTTGGTCTGATGTTAAAAGTACTTGGGTTATGTTCTGCTACAAACTTTTGTAAACTCTTAACACTTCACGAGTTCTTTATTTTTCATTGGATATGCATATGCTTTACGAGTGTTAACATTTATGAAGATGAGGAATGGTTTATGTCCTCCTTTTCTGCTTTGAATGAAGAGTGTCAAATTGGTATGCGTCAGGAGTGTTGGAGTAATTGGTAAAAAGTAGTCGTAAGGGTTTATTTTTGTTTGATGTAACAACATTTTTGTCAAAGAACTTTTCACTTCAGCTCTGTTAGTAAATCCCAACTCTTTGCAGCTTCATTGAATTTCTTAAATGACCTCCATGGATGTTGTTCGAATACTTCTTTCAAGCTCATTTATGTAAAGTTTAAAGATTTTAACCAACTCGTATCCAAGCGTGCATTGTTATATAAGGAGGCATATAATCTTTTTCCATTACCTGCTGGGTCTGTAATACCAGCTACAACATGTGTATGATTTCCTGCAGTTCCACAGAAAATACCTGTGCTAACATCTTTGGGGTCAGTTGTGATACTATCTATGCATTCCCTGTCTATCCGAACCCGCTGCAAGATTTGTATAACCTCTTTTTTTATTGATGTGAATGGTTTCCTTCCACAGATGTTTTTCCACTGAACCTATGCATATGTGAAGGAAGGTTTTCAATACCTATTTTCTTTGAACCTCCCATCTTCATTGACTGAGTATTAGTGTAGAATGGAAAACTGTCAACTATTTCATACCATCTACCACCAAATAAAGTGTTTGGATTTATTGGATTCATAGACGTATAAACAGCTCCTATAGGATATATTAAATCATATATGCTCATAACTCTATAAACATATTCTAAAGAACTTATGTCATTAAATACCATTTGGAATGTATCTCCCGGATGAAATGTTGCATTTGTTCCACTTTTATAATGTAATGTTAGTTCAATAGAATTATCCAAGAAAAATTCAAAAGTATCTGGTTGAAGACCTCTAACAAATTCAAATGGAGTTGCTGGTTCACCATTTATAATTTCTGTTGTAAATGTCATTGTATCTGGTTTCGAAAATTTCTTTGATAGTTCTTCATCTACATAAGTTTTGTCTGCTTTCTTATCTAACATTGTTGGTAGTTCATATGCTTCAAAGTTTCTGGCATGACTTTCAATGTTCCTGCAACTCTTATCTAAACTGTTAAGAGTATCTTTTACGCTTGTACTTGGATTTTCTAATGGTGCACTTGAACCAAGGTCAAAGTTCAATATTATGTCGTCTGCTCTAACAGTAGTGAAGGATTTATGTGTATGGTTCTTGTCAGCTTTACTGTCTAATGTAGCTTGAAGTTCATTTATATCGGAGATGTTGTGTTTATGAGATTTCAAAACTTTGTTCGTTGCTTCGAGTTCAACTTTGTCAGCTTTACTTTTAATAGCATCTTCAAACGTTATTTTTGCCTTAACTCTTAACATAAATCTTGGTTCAACTAATACACCGTTAACATTGAAAGTAGAGGCATAAATTTCACCGGTATAACCAAATGCTTCTGGTGCTTTAGCTACATCATACTGTACAGTACAGCTTATGTCATAACCTTTAGCACGAATGTATTTATATCTTCTTTCATTAACATTTTTTGTCTTCGCTTCATCACTTCGTGTTAAATATCCATGGTAGTCCGTTATAATCTGTTCGTCTGAAGTTATATAATGAACATGGTTCTTGTCCGCTTTACTATTTAATGTAGCTTGAAGTTCATTTATATCGGAGATGTTGTGTTTATGAGATTTCAAAACTTTGTTCATTGCGTCAAGTTCATTTTTGTCCGCTTTACTATTTAATGTAGCTTGAAGTTCATTTATATCGGAGATATTGTGTTTATGTTCTTTATCTGCTTTTTCGGCTAATTTCTCTTCTATCTCATTTATTTCAAGTTCATGCCTACCACCACCTCCCGAAGAAGTATTTTTCTTCAGCTCTTGAAGAACGTCCACTTCGCCATCTTTGGTGTCAATAATGAGACTTTGAGTTAAAACCTTTCCTGTCTTAATGGATGTTTGTAAAACTTCTTCTTCACCGTGTTCGGGGTCATGGTCGTCATCATATCTTGTGAAATCAGAGATGTTGTCATACATTAAGCATATCTGTCTCAAAAGTTCTGCTATTTGAAACTGGAACGAAAGATATACAGAACTTTCATCATCTCCTAAAGTCAAGTCTGCTTTCTTAAGTATTTCTTGAATGTATGCAATGAGAACAGAGTACCTTGGAAAATATTCGAACAATATTTCATTAGCTGTTGGTTTTGGTGGTTCTTTTGGAGTTTCTGTTGTTTCAGTTCCTTCTGTAGGTTCTGTTGGAGTTTCTGCATCTCTTGACTTCAATGCTCTTGCTCTCAAAGACCTAAATGTTAGAGCACCGGGTTTTACAAAGGACTTTATAAATGCTTTAATAGTTCCTGGTAAGTTATTGTTAGCATTAAGTAAGTTCCTTATGCTTCCATCATGTACGTCCATAGCACTATGTAAAAAATCTATACTTTTCTTGTAGTCAGCAATAGACTGACTGTGATTTTTTAAAGATTTGTCAATACCTTTAAGCCAATCTTCATGCATGTCTGATACTGAGCCAAGAATATCATTTGCTTCCTTTAGTGTATTTTGTGCTTGTCGTAAAGTATCCAATCCCGTACGTGCATTGTTTGCTATACGTCTTACAGTATCTATTTGACTCCTTGTTTCTTGCATCCAACCAGATAAAGTTTTAATAGTATCCGAACCATTTGAAATGAAGTTCAAAGCATTTTTAACGTCATTTAAAACTTCTTCACCAAGTACCGCCCATATCTTTCCGATTTGGTATTGAAGAACTCCATATGAAGCAGCTGTTAAACCAGTATTTATAAGGTCCCATATCCATGATTTAGCAGTTTTTCCATCCTTTCCATCCTTTCCATCCAAACCGTTTTCGCCTTGAGGTCCTTGTATTCCTTGTATTCCTTGTATTCCTTGTATTCCTTGTGGTCCTTGAGGTCCGTGTCACCCTTCTCTCCTTTCAGTTCATCTTTATGTTCGTTATAATATTCTAATGTCATAAGGTGTACATCATTACTGCTACCAGCAACGCCGAGAATTTGTTTCTCATTCATGACTAAATTCTTTAGGCATTTAATGTTGTCGTCAAATCGAAAGCTCTTTAACAATTCAATGAGAACATTTAATACTTTCACTAATGAGGCATCTACTGTAGAATTTATATATTGCACCGTTCCATCATTTATGATGGGAACCTTGCTTGTTGTAATGAATGGGTCATAAGTGTTAAAAGTATCGAAATCAATGACTTTTTTAGTTTTTCCATCGTCAATGACTAAATCATTGCCTTCAATGGTTAAAGTTGAGTTTTCGTTTACTAGTTCATGTGCTCTTCTTGCTTCATTTGTTTCATACGCATATGCAGCAATAGTCATATTTTAATGAGAATAAAATGTTGTTCTATTTGCAAAGTACAGACCCAAACGAATACGGGACAGTAAAGCTACAAACAAACTTAGGTCTTCAGAATGAAGCGCTTGCTTTCAGAGTTGTTGACTTCAATACTATCGCAACTTTTGTCATAACAGATGAAACAGATTTCATAGAGATTGAAATAGATGACAAAAGAAGTGTTGTAACATTTCCTAACAGAGCCGAGTACAGAATAGATAAAATTGCTGGAGTCATAGATACTCTCATAAATGAAGAAACTATTGACAACATAGATGTCGAACTCTCTTCTGAGGGAACATTGAAGTTCAGTAGCAAGAAAGAGTTCAAGATACCAAGAATGAGTCATAGAGTACAACTTCTTCTGGGAGCATACCATATGACATTTCCTTTGAAAAGTGTTGACAAAACGATTGAGATGAAATCTGTTCCATACGTATGTTATGGTAATTGTTTGTACGTTGAGTCAAAATAGCTAATGTCACAGGTATTTCAGGAGTTAATAGTAAAGGTTCAGTAGAATATAAATCCTTCTGTTATGCAGTCAATTCAATGTTCATTCCAAACGTTCCTGTCATAGCAACTCATTTAGGTAAATGGGTTCGCATTAGTCCTCATAATTTGAAAGACATGCAATTCAGACTTGTTGACTTTCAAGGAGAGCCTGTAGAACTGAAGGCACCAGTGCGAATGACTGTTGAAGTTGACTTTTTAGAAAATATTAAATGCAACAGCTTACAAGAGAACTCAGAGCTAAAAATATAAAGTATGAATGTTATGTATTAGGTCATGAACTTTGGTTGTTGCTGTTTGATGAAACAAATGAGTTAGTTATGCCAGTCATTCGAGGGAAGCAATCAGTATGAGGGAAATTCCTTTGCCCTTCTAAAAAAAAGTTTTTTTCCTTTTTTGCCCCCCTGGTTTTTGGTGTTTCAAAAACCAATATATCTTGCTTTGTAGAAAGAAAGAGCGTTCATTATACCTGTTGCATTTGATAACAGTGTCAATCTTTGACCGAACGAATAGACGTAACTGTTTGTTATACTTGATGTAACTGCGTATTCTTCAATTAATGCTTATGAAACGGATTAGCAGTTGTTGTTGTTCTCTGATGTGACATTACTGTCGTGTACATACAAATAAAAAGAATAAATAAAAAGATAAATACTGAACTTTATTTTTCTGTGATAAAGAAATGTTAAAAAATTCATTTGTTTAAATATGGAAAAGAAGTCAACGAAACAAATGAAGGTCATAAGATTCAGCACATAATTCTGAAATTGAATGGTGTCATACATGTTCAAACCGTCAAGAATTGAAAGAGATACGAAGGCTATTAAAGATATTTGGATATTTTCTGACTACAACACCCTGAGGGAAAAAGTGACAAAACACGGAACGATAGAAAAAGTGGCAAAAATTGAGAGAAGAGTTGTTCCCGCGACCAAATGCAAATCATGGTGAAAAGTGACATTGTAAGAGTTGAGACGAAGGTTTTCCTGAAAAAAGTGCAAGACTTGTCTTGAATCAGGACAAGATTTGTCTTGAAAAATACAAGACTTGTTGCGAAAAAAATTACAAAGCACTTGTCTTGAATCAGGAACAATTGTTCTCATAATTTGAGGAACTTTACAAAAAAAACTGACATGAAAAAGTGCATATCTTGTTCTGAATCAGGACAAGACTTGTTCTGAAAAAATAAAAGATTGTTCTGAAAAATACAGAGACTTGTCTTGAAATCAGGACAAACATTTAACAAAAATGTAAACGTTACATAAACCGTTTCTATCTACAATGATATTTGTTGAACATTGTAAACTATCTTCATGTAAAAGTATGGGGTTTGAAACCGTCGGGAGACCTTCAACTTTTTTACGAACTTTCCGCAGCAATTTTTTTAAAAAATTGTGAAATCCTCAACGGGTTGGAACGTGCCCATATTCATTTTACTAGAATTTGTGCTGAATTCAGCAAAAATAGATGTTATGTTAGGCATGTTAATCTAACACGTTTTCTAACCTCCTTTTCTAACATAACTTTATACACGTTTTTAAACATGGTTATATGTTGCGATGGTTCATGACTTTAAAAGTTTTTGTACTTCTATATTGCTTCTTTTAGTACATCGAATATTTTAACAATGCCGAAGGTTTCTTTATATTTCCTTTCTTGACGTCAGAGTAGAAGGAAATTGCTCAGCAGTTGGATATTTTTGTTCAAAATGCTAACATGTCCCATGTTTATCTCTGCTGCTGTTTTACTTCTTTCTTTAAATCTGCATAGCGTTTCATTTCTTTCTAATCTCTTTGAACGGAGTAGTTATATTTCCTCCATCGCTGCCTTACATTTTGAACATTGTGCGGGTTCATTTTGCGGTTTATTACAGCATGAAATTTGACCTGCTAAAACAACTAAGGCGTCAATTGCTTCTTCACTCAAACATAGCGGGTCTTAGTTTTTCGTTCCATACTTTGCCTCTTGCATCTTTATCTCTTATTTCCCAACACAGTTCAGCAACTAAATGAAACAAGTTATCGTAGGTCTAAATCTTCAGATTTATTTATGATGTCCAAGAAACATTCCTTATAAACCATGTCCAATCTTGTCCATTAACTTTACGGTTGCAATGAAAACCAAGAATTCATAATTTACTTTTACGTATGAACTTTCTTATTTCTACTGAGTAAGTTTTTTTGTGATCTCAATTTCTTCGAATTCAGGAATAGTTAGTTTTGTTCGTTGTGTATGTCAGGCAATTTGGGTAAAATGGTCAATAAATGTCCTGTCATTTCATAAAGATACGTGTTCATTTGTTTCCATCTTGCAGCACTACCAAGTCTAAATTACTTTGTTAAGTTCTTGCTTTATTCTTCTGGAATTTTTGTTTCGAAAGTATATGAAGAAAGGAATGAAGCTTTTACTCTACAAACATAGATGTTGGATTCCATGACCTACGAGTTTTGTGCGTAGTTTGAATTGTTGTTGTGCCGAGTGAAATCATATCTTTACATACAAGATAAAAATTTTTTCTTAGGAAATAAAATTAGCGTTATTTTCTCTTCATAAGGAAAATGTCAAATAATTCATGATTTTCGAAGAAGTTTTAGACCATGTTTAGAAAAAGTTGGTTAGAAAACGCGGTTAGATCTAACATTCTAACATAAACATTATTTTTTGGTGTAATAAAATGGTACCATTGTTAATATACGAAAACGATAAAAACCGTTGACAGAAAGAAGTGACAACTTTAGCGTGTTCAAAAATATAAAAATGTGATTATTTTTATTCATCATTTATCTTCTTCATAATGTTATTCATATTCTTTCTCTTAACCAAAAAAGATGGGAATGGTGACAATTGCGGGACAATGTTTTAGCCATTATTGGCTGGAATCTAGAGCCTGCGAGGTAACATTGATAGTATCAGTACCTGTCACAGCTCTAGTTCTCCTATAATGGCGCCGAAGAAATTTTGGTGATTGGTCGCATTTTCACCAAATTGTTTTCGGCGCTCATAGGATGAAGTTGGAGGCTGAGGAGTATTATTTCATACAATACTACTCTCACCCTCCAATTCCCAGCCATAAATGGCTAAAAAAATTGCCCGCAATTGTGAACAATGTGCGGGCTAATTTTTAGCCATTTTGGCTT